TTGTCTTTTTTAAAATTGTATTACATTTATTTTATTTATTTTTTTATGTTTTTTAACTCCTGGGGCTGGTGGTTGGAAATTTGATATTCTTTTTTATTCTGATATTTGATAGATATGACCAACATAATAGGCTCAAATGTTAGATTTATTAGCTGGAACATTAAGGGTTTGGGGAGTGCTGTTAAGAGATCTAAGGTGTTCTCCCATTTAAAACACTTAAAACCTGACATTGTCTTCCTACAGGAGACCCACATGAGAACCAATGATCAGGTCAGACTGAGATGTCCTTGGGTTGCTGATGTGTTCCATTCTAGCTTTAATTCTCGGGCCAGAGGGGTTGCCATTCTGATTGGTAAATCGATTCCATTTACACTGACCAGGACCATTTCTGACAGGTATGGCAGATATTTGATTGTCTCAGGCACTATATTTCACACTCCTGTCCTACTAGTTAATGTTTATGTGCCAAATTTTGATAATCCAGGATTCATGAATAAATTGTTTGAAAATCTGCCTTCGCTCAATGACCATTTTTTGATTTTTGGTGGGGACTTAAATTGTACCATTGATCTTCAGTTAGATCGTTCTACAGCAGGATCTGCTCACTCTCAAATGGCTAAGATCCTTAGTGCTTTTATGTCCAATGGAGGTTATGTTGACCCTTGGAGATTTCATAATCCTACTGCTAGGCAGTATTCTTTCTACTCACATGTACATCAGACTTTTTCCCGTATAGACTATTACTTTATAGATTCTAGACTTATACATAAAGTGACGGACGTAGTATCCCACCCAATTATTGTCTCGGATCATTCACCAGTGTCCTTAGATATTCAAATTTTACCAGGACCCCGGTACTCTTCACAATGGAGATTTAATGTTTCACTTTTATCAGATGACAAATTTCATAAATTGATTACAGATGCAATTGATGACTTTATTACTTTTAATCAGTCTGAGTCAGAACCTATCTCAAAAGCACTCTTGTGGGAATCTTTAAAAGTCTATTTGCGAGGCAAGATAATTTCATATTCTGCATATGTGAAAAAAACACGAGTGTCTAAAATTCAGAAACTGTCAGCTGATATAAAATCTATAGACCAACAACTTGCAGGGGCCCACTCTGTTAATCTAGCAAAATGTCGGGTAGCTTTACAAACAGAGTTAGACTTTATTACGACCAATGAGGCAGAGCGCCTACTACTTCATTCCCGTACCAAATACTATGAACATGGAGATAAAGCAGGAAGACTACTTGCTCATCAGCTGCGTCGTCAAGCATCCGCCCGGTTAATACCTCGCATTAAGGATGCATCAGGAATCCTGGTGGAAGAGCCTAGTCTTATTAATTCAGTTTTTTCATCTTTTTATGAGTCCTTATATAGTTCTGAATTCTCTTCAGTTGCGACAGACATGTCTGCCTTCTTAGATGATCTCGACTTTCCTACCGTAAGCCCGGAATCAGTTACTGAATTAGATTCAGAACTGACAGCCCAAGAACTGATCTTGGCCTTAAATTGTATGTAATGTAACAAAGCACCAGGTCCAGACGGATTTCCGGTTGAATTCTTTAAGGCATTTCACAACAAACTCATTCCTTTATTGCATTCCGTTTATGTTGAATCTTTATCATGTGGCTATCTCCCTTCTACACTGAGGCAAGCCTCTATTAGTGTTCTCCTTAAAAAGGATAAAGATCCTGATCTATGTACCTGGTACAGGCCTATTTCTCTAATGAACGTTGATGCCAAAATTCTGGCTAAGGCTTTGGCCCGCCGTTTGGAAAAAGTACTTCCAGCCATTATCTCAAACGAACAGACTGGGTTTATAAAGGGACATCAGCTTTTTTATAACGTTTGCACTTTATTAAATATTATCTATTCTAAAGAAACCACAGCAACCCCAGAAGTCATGATATCAGTTGACGCAGAGAAGGCATTTGATAGAGTTGAGTGGCAGTATTTGTTTACAGTTTTAACTAAATTTGGATTTGGAAAAGGATTTATATCATGGATACAACTTCTTTACACATTACCTTGTGCAAATATTACCACAAACAATGCTCAATCTAATTATTTCACCCTGAATAGAGGCTGCAGACAGGGCTGTCCCTTGTCACCTCTTTTATTTGCCATCGCAATAGAGCCTTTATCAATTCATCTGAGGTCCTCCCCAGTCTTTACAGGCATCACGCGGTTGCATAGAGAATTTAAGCTTTCGCTTTACGCTGATGATCTGCTACTATATGTCACAGATCGTAAAGTCGTGCTCCCTAAAATTCTCTCATTATTTCAAAGATTTGGCTCATTTTCAGGGTATAAGGTTAATGTTTCAAAGAGTGAATGCTATCCTGTTAATAAATCAGCAATGCAACTCTCTCCATTGGACATTCCTTTTAAATTTAGCCCCTCTGGATTTTAATATTTGGGAGTCAATTTAACCAGAGGCTACAAGTCTCTTCAGTCTGCAAATTTTTCACCTTTGTTGGCTGAGATTAAGGCAGATTTTCAAAGGTGGGCTTCCCTACCTCTTAGCTTGATTGGGAGAATTAATACTATTAAGATGACTGTCCTACCAAAGTTTGTATTTTTGTTTCAGAATCTACCTATCTTTTTATCTAAAGGTTTTTTCAAAATAATTGATACCATGATTTTACATTTTTTGTGGAATGGCAAAACACCTAGAGTTAGGCAGAAAATACTTCAGAATTGTAAATTCGATGGTGGCCTCTCCTTGCCAAATTTTCAGTTTTACTATTGGGCAGTGAACATAACTAGAATTGCATTTTGGTCAAAGTCAAGTAATGTACCATGGTGTCAGTTGGAGGCACATTCATGCTCCTCTCATCATCTCTTTCAGCTTTATTAACTGGCTTGGTCCCTGTCAACCCCTCTGGCCTTACTTGCCACCCTGTGGTAATTTCTACTCTTAGGATATGGTCTCAGTTTAGAAAGCAATTCAAATTTTCTGATCCTATTGTTCTGACCCCACTCCTGAAAAATCACATGTTCAAACCTGCATTTACTGATCCAGTTTTTAACACTTGGCATGATAAAGGACTGAGATGTTTCAAAGATTTCTATAAAGATGGATTGTTTTACTCATTTACAGACATGGCAGGTGAATTCAACCTTCCACCTTCCCAACTTTTTAGATATTTTCAGGTGAGGAGCTGTGCAAGATCTCTATTTCCTAATTTTCCACAACTCCCACCTGAACAAGTATGGGCTGAGCTTCTTCAGTTGAACCCCTCACATAGGTCACTCATTTCAAAAATGTATAACATTATTCAGTCGTATGATGGTTATTTGACTACTAAAACAAGAGAAGCCTGGGAGCGTGAGCTGGCACTGGTTTTTTGATGGACACTGGTGGAACTCCGCATTACAGCTTATTCATAAGAGTACCATTTGTGCCTGTCTGACTTTGATACAGTTTAAAGTTCTGTTTAGATGTCATTACTCAAAAACGAGACTAACGTAGATCTTTCCCTCTGTTGTGGATGTTTGTGACAGGTGTGAGGGATCACCTTGTAATCTCACGCATATGTTTTTTCTTTGCCCAGCCCTGACAACCTTTTGGCATGTTTACTTTGACACGTTGTCCAAGGTGTTGTCAAAAACAATGAATGTTTCTTTGTATGTAGCTATCTTTGGTCTTCCAGAAGACTTCTCTAGCTATTCAGTGTTACAACTGCAAGTTTTGGCATTTACTTCTCTTGTTGCAAGACGCCGTCTCCTCTTGCATTGGAAATCTACAAAAGCCCCATCCAGCACTCAATGGATTAATGAAGTTATGTCCTTTTTGAAAGTAGAGAAGATTAGGTATTCCAAGAAAGGTAACATAAAGACATTTTTTAGAAAGTGGCAGCCATTTATTGACTTATTTAAAACAGTCTAAACCAACCACCTACCCACCCCTTCTTTATTATTATTATTATTATTATTATTATTATTATTATTATTATTATTATTATTATATGTTCTTTAATTTTATTGTATTTATTTATTTATTTTTCTATCTGTTATCAGTAATAGTAGTAGTGTATTTTTTTTATCATTCTATTATTATTATTATATTGTATGACGCTACACCTATTTCTTGAGTGATTTGTTTTTGTTAGTTAACTTTGTTAGTTAGTTATGTTTTATCTGCATAAAAATGGAAAAAGTGTGTGTACATGTGTTGTTTGAATGACATATCTATATTGATTGCACATGAATAAAAACATATGAAAAAAAAAAAAGTTACAGGTAGTTTTAGGTATGTTTGAGTGATAAAACCAACTGTACTTGATTAAATGTAAAGTAGAGCTGTTTAATGTCTTACTGTGGAACATTCTAGCCAGAGCAATGACATAGCCATAGAAACAAGCAGGTGACAGACCCCAAACCAAAAAATGCACCTTTAACATGGTCCCTGTTCCAATTATCAGTCATTGTTGTTAGTTTTGTGCTGTTTTTATTTGTGGTTTAAGTTGTAATTGAAGACATGTCAGAGATTTTGTTTGAAAATGTTTATTATAAAGGTCTTTTACATGTAAGCCAAGTGCTGCACATACACAATTAAAATCATTCCCTTACACCCACTGAAACATGCATGAATAATCGAAATACAACACAAGACATTTTGTGAGGAAAAAACATAACAATATGGTTAAAAGCTCAGAACATTTTATTTAGCATCATATGTCCCCTTTAAGTTAAGAGAGATGTCTGTTCATCTCACAATGAACATTAAAGTTGCTCTTGTGCTAAGACAAAGCTGTGCATGAAATCAGCATGAATATATACAGGGGATATTTGGAACCAAGATTTTGTGCCCTCTTTTATTTAAATTCAATAACAATATTTTCTTCTTTCCGAAGATCACCTTCTCCATAGAAAGGCCTGTGTTAAAAAATATATATATATATTACAGAAAATAACATAATCAGAGAGAATAACAATTACAACTTAACATCTTTGTTTTTAATGAATGAAAATGGAGAAGAGGGACACTTACACAAGGTTGATGTTTTTTGCTTGAAGCATTTTCTTGGAGGCTTTTGTTTTATCATCATCACTGTATTTGTCTGACAGGTAAATAACTTTTTTTACACCTGAAATGATCAAAACATGAAGATTGCTTTAATATGAAATATGTGTATATTTCAGTACACTTGAGTGCACCAACCTGCCTCAATGACAAGTTTGGCACAGTCATTGCAGGGAAAAAGGGTCACATAAATGGTGCAGCCTCTCACATCAGTGCTGCTGAGAATGGCATTAAGCTCTGCATGGCACACTGAAAAAAAAAGAAAAAGGAAAAGACAACAATAAAGATGAAAATACATGGTGGTGTCAAAGGCTTCTGCCCTCCTTATGGTTGAGGGTACACGCCACTTCAGACCTTCTGCCTTTCCTGCCTACTTCCACCCAGAGGTGATGGTTATACTATATACCACATTCAGTGGGGTAGTACAATATAACTACCTCACTGAATGAGAGACTTTCTCGCTGTGATGATTCTCGTCCGCTGGCTCAATGAATGAACATTGCGAAAATATGTCATCTAAAGATTTTTATGTAAAAATATCTTTTCACTTACCATACAAATACTTAGTATCATCAGCCTCTTTAACCCAGGTATACCTGTCATTATGATTATTGGGCATCTGGTTGTGACCAACTGCAACAATCACTTTGTCATCCCTCACAATGCAGGCCCCCACCTGCACACACAGGAACCAGCTCTATGTTTATGTTTGTCACAAAATTTGTTCAATGTCAAGAGTCAAAAGTGAAATAAGTCATCCTGTCCATCTGCAGTTATGTAGTAGCAATAGTGATTAGCAAATTAATATCTGAAATGGAGTGGTACCTGTGTGCTGGGATCTCTGCTTTTCTGTGCTGTCAGGACGGCCACAGCCATGAAATCAGACTCAGGAGTTCTGCAAAATAATATGAACAAATAAATAAATAAACACTTGAAACACAAGTTTCAACTTCACTATTGCTCAATACAGGTTCACTACCTGTTCCGGACGGTTTGTTCAGTTGACTCTTCATTTGGAAATGTAAGGGTAATAGGATCCTTTCCGCCCATGTACTTCCTTTATGAAAAGAAAAAAAATGAAAGTAATTTTCATAAATGAATGTGGGATGGTATTATTTGACCTTGTCATTTGCAATTGGTAGACACAAATCCGCATGAGATGAGGGGTAATTTGTTGAGTTTGCATTATTTGTTCACATTTTTTACTAAACATTATTTCATTGTCATCAGTTATATCACTTCAACTTAAAAGCTGTGATTGCACCAAATGATGATAATTACACTAAACTGCAAAACAAAGTATATCACAAGATTGTTCTCTCTGATAAGATCTTCATAATGAACATGCAACACAGGCACAGGACAGGCACTGCAGGGGATATAGTGCCCCGGGGCAGTTGTGGTTTGTCCTCCCGAGGTGATGGGGTCTTGTATTTGTATTTGTATTTGTATCTGTGTTTAACAACCACAGTTTGTTGTTTTTGTTTTGTTTTTTACTTACTCGCAGCAAACATTTTCTTTCCTGAGCATTTTCCCTGAAGCTTTGACACTGTTTTCTGCAGTCTCATTTTCAGACAGATAGACAACATGCCTGATACCTGGAAATACAATCATTTTGAGCAGGACAGTATAATAAGTAATTACAAAGTAATTAGTATCCGTGCAGTATTAATAGGCGCTATGGCACAAAAAAGTACATATATCTATACCCATTTGCACTACATCCAAGTGTTTATTAAATCAAAGTGATTGTTCGATTGATAGTCCCAGTTTAGTGGGAGATTCACCTGATTGGATCATGACTTTGGCACACTCGTTGCAGGGAAACATAGTCACAAACATAGTGCAGCCGTGAACATCTGCAACTTTCATGATGGCATCAATCTCTGCATGATATTCTGTGAAGCAGGTGACATTTGTCATAAAATCCATGATAACAAACTCAGACTATTGAGAATGTAATATTAGGGATATTTTCTAAAAGAGATCTAAGAGAAAGATGCAGCATCTCACCATACAGATCCTTTTTATCATCACCACGGCCGTCAAGCACTTGGCTGTAGCCAACAGCAATAACTTTGTTGTCCTTCACTATACAGGCACCCACCTGCACACAGGGGCACCATCACATCCCTCATTTAAAATATGTTTCTTTTATTTGTATTTCATAATGAAAGTATAAAAACCCAGCACCTGTTTGTCAGTATCTTTGCTTCTTTGGCGTGTCAGGAGGGCTAAGGCCATGAAATACTCATAGTCTTCCAGGTAGTCCTGTCTGTTTCAACAAAAATCACAACATTAAATATAAAACAGTATTACATCATCATATCATCATGTTGTTCTCAACAAAAATAGTAAAATAGATACCTGCTGACTGTAGTGGCCATAACTTCACACTTGTGTACCTGTTCAGACTCTTATAATAAACCATCAGCGATGTGCTCTTAAATAGCTTACTGTTGGGCAGCAGACCGCAGACCCGCCTTCAACACACCCAGAGAATACCTGTTCTCCTACATGGCCAGCAGGTGCAGCTGTATGTGAATCCATTGTGTTTATAAATTTGTGTGTAATAATTCTGTAATAAATACCTAATAATAAAAAAAAGAACCTTTATTTGTGCGATGACTGTGTGAACAACAACAGTACGGAGAAAGGAGGAAAAAAACAACATCCAAAAAACCATTGAGAAAAACTGTAAGTCTGCCATATCAACATGTTTGTTATTTGAAAACTAGAGCCTATTTTACAAAAAAATTAATAAATAAATATTGTCATTTAATTTTACAATTCATTAAATTTTAAGCTTCTTATTTTTCCCCCATGGAAAGGTGTATGTGTTGCCCTTTACAGACACACACCTCTTTTACTTCTTTTCCTCTCTGGACATAAATGTGTTGTTAACATTTCACTAACAAATGTTCAAAACATTTTTACATACAGGGCGTTGCTTTTACTTTTACTACACAAATTAAGTGTCCAGTGTCAGTATCCCAACAACACACCCTAGAATCTATGAAGTCTGTATAAGCACAGAAGAACAGTACAATCTCATTTTTTCATCTTTTTTTTAAAGGTACATTGTGTAACTTTTCTGGTAGATCAAATGCTTATCTCCACAGAAATATCTGGAATGTTTCACATTATGGTATTACACCTTTCTATCTTCATGGAGACCAAACCAGACAAAGTTACAGGTAGTTTTAGGTATGTTTGAGTGATAAAACCAACTGTAGTTGATTGTAAAGTAGAGCTGTTTAATGTCTTACTGTGGAACATTCTAGCCAGAGCAATGACATAGCCATAGAAACAAGCAGGTGAAGGACCCCCAACCAAAAAATGCACCTTTAACATGGTCCCTGTTCCAATTATCAGTCATTGTTGTTAGTTTTGTGCTGTTTTTATTTGTGATTTAAGTTGTAATTGAAGACATGTCAGAGATTCTGTTTGAAAATGTTTATTATAAAGGTCTTTTACATGTAAGCCAAGTGCTGCACGTACACAATTAAAATCATTCCCTTACACCCACTGAAACATGCATGAATAACTGAAATATAACACAGGAAATTTAGCTACTGTGTGTCAGAAAGTGTGTTTTTGCGAGGTCGTTCACATTTCCAATTAAATGCGACTACCGATATATCGGCTGGCCGATATTATTGGCCGATAGGGCACCTGCTTGCTGATATGGGCCGATATTTCACGTGGGCATGTTATACATCGTTATAAAGCTTAGACTCTCTTCATTATGTTCATTTAATCCAATTAAATTCCAATCCAAATTCGGTGTAATTTGTCTGTGTGTGTCCGTACTGTCCCTGAACACACCCCCAGAGTCACGTCACTTCACTCACGTGTTCTTGTTTACACCCGCAGCGGTGCGCAACATTGAGATTACATTATTCTTTTTACAGACAATCGGTTTGAGTCTGGATTAAAAGGACATTTATTAGTGCAGACTTGTGATGTGAGGAGGAGCCTGTATGAGCGGTGAGTGTTGGAAATACATCGACTTTGAAGCTAGTTTTGGCGATTTGTTTTTAGCGATTAGCTGCTGTAGCTTCCACACATAAACAGGCTGTTTTCTATTGGCTTATTGTAAAGTGACTGTATTGGCCATATATTTGTTACTGGACCAGCATTGATATGTAAATGAGCTGTGAATAGACGTGTGAATGATCCACATTTATGCATATAATTAATTACCGTGGCTCGCACGTTTTTACGGCTAAAGGCTAATAGCGGTAGTTTATTTACTCGCTAACAGTAATGGGTCGGTCGCGATCGAAGCGGCTCTTAGAGCCGACTCTTTGAAGTGAACAACGGGAGCATGTTTCTTATTGGGAGCCGAGTTTTCTCTTTTTCTCACTTTTTCTCTTAAAGCCGCTTATAGACCCGTAGTTTGACAGCAGCAGCGGTTGAAAACGAAACTTTCAGAAATCTGCGTGTGCATAGGATAAAAAAAAAAAAAAGTGCATATTTGGCTGCAGTTCAGCATAAAATGAATAAACCAGGACTAATCTTGGGCTCGAGTGAGGGAGAGACCGAGTCCCGACACTCAGTCCTGGTTCAGTTCTGGTTTAGTCCTGTTTTACACATGGTTTAAATCTGTTTTTAGTCCTGGTTTAGTCCTTTTTCAGTCCTGGTTCAGTTTTGGTTTAGTCCTGCTTGCAACAAAACAATCTCAAGAGTCGCTTGGGAGCCGAAAGAGCCAGCTGCTTTAGTGAGCCGAGCCAAAAGAGCCGGTTCTCCAAAAAAAAATGGAATACCCGTCACTAGTAGCTAGAATGTGATGCAAAAATGCCATTAGGCCAATCTACTGTATGTACATATGACGTAAAGAGTCAGAATAACAATAAATGTTGCCTAAATAAACCCAATTTAGAATCCACTAGAGCCAGACCTAAGGTTTTTAAACAATTCAAGATTTACAGTGAATTTTTGCATCACTAAATATATCGGTGATTATATCGGCAGCTCCAACTCCCATTATATCGGTTTCATATCGACCACAACAAAATCCATATCAGTCGGGCTCTAATATATCTATATACATATATACATATACATATATACATATATAATATAAAATGTCTGGTTCTTTAGAACCTATGATTTTTTGGGCAGACTTTTGCTCAGTACACTTCAAAATGGTAAAATTACTAAAGAAATCCAAGTGTGAATCCATTAACTAAAATTGGATTTTTCTCCAAGGCACACCTGACAAGACCTCAAAGCACACAGACTTAAAGACCAGAGGATGCTACTTGGATGGATCTGTTACTTTATTAGTCTGTTTATATTGCCAAAGGTCAAATTGCTCTGTTCCACTGTATAATGTCATAAAGCTACCTTTTTTCTTTAACCTTTTGTTTAATTACATCAGTGACAAGGCCCCGACAGCTCAGAGAATGTTTCAGACAGTGGGGTTCAGAGGAAGAGGTGCTAGAGGGACCATCATGGTAAGACAAGCCCCTACATTGGGTGCACCACTTAAACAAAACTGAAGTTTCTGATATCAAGAAATCCTACCAATGGCTTGAGAGGGCTGGTCTGAAGGAAACACAGAGACCTGCTCCTGGCTGCGCAGGAGAGAAAATCACCAGTGCAGTCTGACACTTTACACATGTGAATTTTGGTCTGAAAAAGCTTTGCTATGTGTCTATAATGTGTACATTTATATTGTACATATATTGTATGTACAATATAAATGTACACATTACCAAGTGCAAAGTAGACTTTGCAGCATTTGATCAAGAATATTTTGATGGATTTTTCAAACAAATACAAATACACTATTTTTGTACTGTAACATGCAATGTGCCCTTGAAAAGACATTTACACATCTCACAGTGTGTATATCTGTATGTCATCTCTAAATTGTGTGTATATCTGTTGAGGCCCTTTCCTTATTTGAAGCATTTGTGAAATCTTTTCCTGTTAGATTTTTGTTGCTCACAAATGTTGATTTGCTGTTCTGTTTGAGTTTCTGTATTAAAAGTGAGAGTTTGGGCCAAAGTCTTTTACCACGTGAGAACAGACCTCTAGTGTTGAAAAAACAAAGTGATATCACTAACCATGTGTTTGTGATCGTTTCCTGAATCAAGTGTTATGAGACAGAACCTGAAAACCATAAACTGATGACAAATATTTCAAATGATGTGACCATCTGTGCCTCTCTTTATACATGTTTGAATCATATCATTAAACTAAACCAAGTTTCAAAATTAGTTAAAACCATTGAGAAATGGTCAGTTCTGTCATTTCAATATGTCTGTCATTTGAAAACTAGTGCTGTGGGGAAGCTGGCCAAAGTGGTCAAAGAAGGAGGCAGACAAAAAAAAAAAAAGTCAGTTTTAACCAAAAATGTATTCTTACACCTTGGATTGTGGGGGGGAAAAAAAAAAAACATTTACAAAAATAACTGTGCTTAAATAAAGACAAAAGCAACAGAAATTAATAAAACAATGTTGGTTTCATCGAACCAGGACCTGCAATGTGCACTGGGGCGGTTTTCAGCCGAGGATCAGCTCTTCTAA